GGCGGTGGCTTTACCCTCTACGCCACAGCGCCGGCCGTTGTTGGGCTTCTTAATGGAAAAAGTTTGGGAAGCTGTGGCCTAGAGAAGGAAGAATAGTAAACCAATGGTCTGAATCTACTGCAGAGCAAATCTGGTTGGACTACAGATCTGGTTTAGCAGTGTAGGGAGAGGAGGTAGGAAAATACAGGGGAAGCTTCTTGGAAGAGATGACAGGACAAGTTGCAGGAGTCTGGTGGAGGGAAAGACAAAGAGAAAATAACAATGTACCAGGCTACACAAAATGTGCAAAGACAGGGTGTCCTGGGCAGGGATGGGGCGTGAGTTTTGAAACATGATTTGGTACATCTTGAACTGTCAGTGGGGGCAAGGAACTGTGGGAGGTCTGGCTGGGAGGCTCCTGCAGAGCTGATCAGGGAGGTCACTAAGAGGAAATAGTTATTCTGATGGAAGAGGTTACTCTACTGGAGATCAAACAGGAGCAGTGAGATCATGGAGCAGTGGTCCCAACTCAGTGCTCGAGCCCATTCTACCTCTACATTTATCTGAGCCCTAGTGCAGACTGCAACAGCGGGAGCTAGAGAGACCTCAGAAAGAGAGGACTAAAACCCTCAACACAGTGCATTGCTGGGTGAGCATGCACACTGCCTATGGAACCATCTTTGGGCTGCGAGACTGTGTGTGTGTGTTTTTTTTTTTTTTTAATAATCATTAGTGCCTTAGTACAGTCAGCAGAAACAGGAATTAACCAACTGACTGAGCCAGAGCTGGAAAGGATGGAAACAGCAGACAGCAGATCAACCAAGAGAACAGTACATGGAGTCCCTCTGAGCCACCTGGCATGCTCCTGGAACTGATTCAGGAAGGCCCCCAGTGCACCTGGTGCTCTGCCCTGTGAGGAGAGCCTATATCTTGCACAGTGTAGCAGGGCTGCAGGGTTGCATAAATCCTGGGGTCACCACACATGCGGTTGCCTACATGAATAGAGCCCTCAGGAGTTGTGCAATAGGAGTTTGCAGAACTATTCACACGAGATATGTTAAGAGATCCAGTGACACAGTGGTTGTGTGGCTGCCCTTAAGAACTTTCACTTCAAGTCCAAGTTTGGGCTGGCCTGAGAAGCAGTGGATTTGGGTTTGGAGCTAGCAGCTGGGTGGCAGTGGGGCAGATGGCAGAAGGGAAGTGGACCTGGGACTCTCAATTACCTTTGCAGCACTGGCTGGGGATTTTGCTAAGGTGGTTCTGGAGCTCTGGGTATGTCACTAAGTTAGTTCCAGAATGCCATCACCATGTAGACAAGGGTACTCCAAAGAGCTGGTGGAGAATTCGAGCTCAAAGGTAATGTATTTTAACGTGAACCTTTTGAAGCCCCCTCATCCATGGTCAGGAAGGTAAAAGCAGCCAGGGAGAGAGCCAGGGGTAATATACACAAGGATTGGTCACTGGTGACTGCCAGCAAAGGAACCCCTTCCCTCATTCTAAGGCCAGCCCAAGAGTGGGGGACAAAAATGAGAAGTATTCACCAAGAGACAGATAAAGCCATTTCCCATCTGAGCTGCAATAAAATTGATACAGAAACTTGAGAAGTTGGTTGCATAATATTACACAAGAAAATCTGGAATGGACATCATTCTCCCTAGAAAAAGGTGGAGCTAAAAGAAGGCAATCGCTGCTATTGGTGAAAGTGGAACCCCAGGTTAAAAACATGGGTTCACAATCTGCTGATTCTACAAAGTGTGACCATACATGGAATGTTCCAAGCCACTTAGGGGTCTTTTGACATCTCCCAAACCTGAATGAGTGCCTTAATTCGGGGGACCAGGGAAGTGACCCACAAAACTAGATAAAGTTAGAGCTGAAGGCAGTTAGATGCAAAATAGAACCTGCTGTTCACACAGATCTTCTCGAAGCACTAACAGATGTCCAGTGCAGGGCACAGGAAGTGCACGGTTTTGATTATCAGAGTATCCCCAAATTAACCAAATCCTGTATGCAGAGGCTGGACAGCTGCATGAAGCAGGATCCAGTGGTGGCTTGAGTTGGCTCCGTTGAGACTGATGGATTCATTGCTCCTTGGACACCGCCCCCACCAGAGCACTGGAGTTGCTGGTGGTGATGATACTCCTGCTACATACAAGGCCATTACACTGTCATGCTTTGTCTGGGCTTACCCACTGGGAGGGACAGCATTGCAGAGAGGCAAGTGGTCTCTCAGAAAGGAGAATACGTCTAGGCCACAGCCACTGTCATAGCCTCCAGTGTTCTCATTGTCCTCTTTCCTTGGAAATACTGTTACTCTCTGAATAAGATTTTTATTTTTGCAAGTATAGTGTTTATCAGTCATCATGTTCTCTTGAATGCAATAGGTTGTATCTTTATAGCCTAGATGTTGACTTTACCTATAGGGACACTTTCGAAACACATATTTTTAAGTGTAAGTACATAAAGGTAAGCACACCATTGTGAAGCAGTTTGTTAAAACTCTGCCTGTGGTTACTATATCTTTGTCCTTTTATTATCTATCAATGTCTTACTGAAGCACTATGAGCACACACAGAAAACTGGCTGTGAGAATTTGCTTAAAACCCCTGCCCTCAGTTTACCACATGGAGAAAATTAGTAGGTCTCAAAGATCAGGCACATGTATCTCATAGAATGACCAGAAATGCTCATGAGTAAGCAGTTAAGAATATGAGCTGGGCTAGCTTTGTGGTGTGGCTGCTTAAGCTGCCACTTGCAATGCAGGTAACCATATCAGAGTGCCAGTTCCAGTTCCGACACTCCACTTCTGATTCAGTTCTCTGTTTACATGCCTGGGAATGCAGCAGAGGATGGCTCAAGTGCTTGGGCCCCTGCCACCCCTGTGGGAGACCCAGGTGGAGTTCCTGACTCCTGGCCTTCACCTGGCCCAGCCCTGGCATTTTGGGAGTGAACCATCAGATAGAAGATGTCTCTCTCTCTCCCTTTCCCTTTCCCCCTCTCTCCCTCCCTTTTTCTCTCCCTCTGTCTTTCCCTACTCCCTCTGTCACTCTTTGAGTAATTAAGTAAATAATTCAATCTTGAAAAAAAAAAAAACCCTATGAGCAGAGTGTCACAAAAGCAAAGATTTCATTCTATATGGAAAAGTAGTTAAGTTAGGATATTTCAGGCAAAGTAAGCTGATACAAAATAATAACTGTCTAAGATAGAGAAAATAGTTTTAAGTCTTCAGGGTAAAAACCTTGATCCATTTTCGGAGTGATTTAGGCTCATATCATTAAAAGAAAATCCCTTTGTTCAATTTGGCCCACCAAGGTTTTATTTCAGGAATGGTAAAGCTGGCAGGAGACAGCAGAGAGCAATGCATTACTGAAATCCAGGCTCCTCCCTTCCCTCACCTTTCACCTGCCCATCTCCAGCACTTTCCATGTCTGAGCTCTCTTGCCTCAATCATGCTCTTTCTGGAGCTAATAATTCCATTCAGACAGTTTTTCCTCCGGAGGACAAAGCTGCCACTTCTCCAGAGCTCTGGGTACTCCTCAGATGACGCCTAGTGTGGGTGGGGGGGGGGGCTAGCACCCATCTCTAGGGGAGGCTGCTTTGGCACCGGTTTTGGCTGATATTTCTGCCTTGCATTTCCACGCCACTCGGTGTGGTGTGTGTCTGCCAGATACTCTGCCTGCTCTCAGCGGAAGGCCTTCCCAGACAGGGCAGCTGAATGCGCTGCACAGCTGCCAAAATTCTAATTCAAGATCGAGAATTCTAACTCCAGCTCTTCAGACCCTTGTCTGGCCTTGGCCCTCATCTCCTGCCAACTGGGCCTCTGGCTCATTATCAGGCCCACCAAGGCCCCACCCCCAGCCTCACTTGGGCCCAGGAAACCGTTCTTGGCACCAAACCGAAGGCCAATGACACACTTGCCCCAGCCCCATCCGACTCTACTGCTATCGTAGAGCCGGTCTGTCACCTTGTGAGCTGGAAGACACACGTGCTGGGCCACAGGAGGAAATGCCGGGGGTGAAGAAACAGCCCCCGTGGCTGATGGCCATGGTCAGACTGAGAAACTCTGCAGGGACAGCATTACCACCCGTGTCTTCATTCAAACACTCACATGAAAAACCTCAACAACTCCTTTATTAGATATAACACTGGAGATATATACATGGTTCGCGAGGGGGATCCTGTTTCCCTATGCTTCTCACCAGAGGGTAAGTGAAATCCATCCTCAGACAAAGTGCTATATTCAGAATGCATGTATCAAAAAATGCACCTGTTGGATCATCAGCTGCTGCTGTTGTGCCTTGTTTCTTAGGCACCTGGACCAGTGCTACTGGAGAACACACATTTGTCAGGTAAAAAATTCGACTGCACCTGGCAGTGGGGACTAGAAGGTAACAGCTTCTTAGCAAAATGCTGGTGTCGGGGAAGCTATTAAATTCAGCCGAGGGCTTAAGCAGTCAACATCAGGGTTTCAATGTTCACAAGACTGGCGTCTTGATTGGAGGAGTCTCTTCACCTGTAAGTGAGGCGCAAACATGACCCTTGACCCTGCGTGCACTCCGATGGCTCAATCACGGGACTTGGGGCAGGGTGGTGGGCGCAGTGTGGTGCCGGAGTCGGGGATAATGACATTATTTCAGCTCTTGTTTTCATCCAAAGGGGCAGACAGCCTTGGTACATAGGTAAAACCCAGTCAAATACACTTGACAACCAAGCACTCTATTTTGAAATTTAAATAAAGCTAAGATTTTCTTCTGGCCTAGAGGGAAGGTTCATTAAAATCAATTAGTCGGTACAAACCTCCAGAGAATACGGACTTTTTTTTAAAGAAGGTTTAAAGAATAAGGTGCACACAATTACCTTTCTCGGGGTCCCCCCCCGCCGTGACTGTCAGGGTCGCACCTAGACAGGTGGCCCCAAGCCCAGGTCCCTGAGAGCTAGCTCCCAGCTGGGCACGAGGTGTAATTAACAGCTGGGTGTGTGTGCGTGTGCGTGTGTGTGTGTGTCTCGGGCGCGCCGCGTCCACGGGCAGCCGGGCTCCCGACAGCCTGCACATATGACAGCCCGAGCCCCGCAGGCCGGCGCGGCACAGTCGGCGGCGGGCGCTGCCAGGTGAGGCCGCGGCCCGGGCGGAGGTCGGGGCCGCACAGCTGTGGCCGCGCGCCCGGCTCCCTCCTCCCAGCGGCCGCGGCCTCTCCCCTCCCCCCGCCGCTCCCGACGCCGCCGCCGCCGCCGCCGCCGCTCCCCTCCGCCTCCCGGTGGCTCGGCGCTCTCCTGCCATCGCTCTCGCCCCCTCTCCCTCCGTCCCGTCCTCTCCGCTCCCCTCTGCCCGCCTCTCTCCCCCTCCCCCAGCCCCTCCTCTCCTCACCCCACCCGGCCTCCTCCCTCCCTCAGCCCGCCCGCCCGGCGCTCGCAGAGCCGACACCAGGGGGGCTCTCGATGTAGCACCATGACAGGCATCGCCGCCGCCTCCTTCTTCTCCAATACCTGCCGCTTCGGGGGCTGCGGACTCCACTTCCCCACCCTGGCCGACCTCATCGAGCACATCGAGGACAACCACATCGGTAAATGGCTCGGGGGTGGGCGGGGGTGCCGGGCGCGCGGAAACTCCTGCCCGGGGCGAGAAGCCCCAGAATGGCCAGGGCTGGCCGGGAGGGGGGAGGCGGCGGCGGTGGCGGTGGTAGCGGCGGCGGCGGCGGGGCGGGGAAGGGGTGTGCGAGTCCCGGGGCGGGGGCGGCGGGATGCGGAGGCGCGGGTGGGGGAGGGGGCGGGCGCCCTGAGGTGCCGCGGGCGGGCCGGAGACCCGGCGGGGCGTGCGCGAGGGCTGCCGCGGGGTGCGCGGCGGCGGGGATGCGGCGGCGGCGGCGGCGGCGGGGCCGGGCGCCGGGGAGGGCGCGCGGGGCGCGGCGGGCGGGCGGGCGGCCGGCGCGGGGCTGGGGCGCCGAGTTAGTTGGCCCGGGGGGCGGGCGCTGCACGCCGCCTGCCGCTTCCGCCCCGGCTCGAGCTGTCAGGGCTCGGCGGCGGCTGCAGCGGCCGGGAGGTGGGAGCGGGGCGGGGGGGGGGGCGGGGGTGGCTCCACCGCGGCAGCCATTCCGCTTCCTCCTCCCACCGCCGCCGCCACTGCGTCCTGTCAGCGCCGGTTGCTAGGTGTGGTGCTGCGGGCGGGGGGCGGACCGGGCGCTCGTCCTCGCCTCGGGGCGGCCGCAGAGCTGTGCCGGCCGGGTCCCGAGTCGCGGGGCCGCAGGGCGCCCACCCCTGCCCTGGCCTGGCGCGGACGCCGGGGCGCTGCGGGCTGAGGTTCCGGGTGTGCCCGCGGGCCGCGCCCAGCGCCGCGGGGCCGGGTCGGCCGCGGAGGCCCCTGCGGCTGCGTCCGCTGGAGAGCGGCCCCCTCCCCGGGGCCGGCCAACGGGCTTTTCGATGCGCCCCGGCTCTGCGGTTTGCCCTTCCCATGGCGCTAGGCCCGAGGTGCGCCGGCTGCGCCCGGGGATCGGCGGCGGCCTGCGCGGCGCCCCGGACGCGGGGGACGCGTGGTGGGGGCGCCCCGCAGGGCGGCTGCTCGCCCTGCACGCCCGGGACCCCGGGGCCTTCCAACAAGTCCTCGAACACCTTGACACGTTTCTGTCCCGAGCCGCTGCGAAGGGAGATGGGTTGGGTTGGTGTGGCCCGGGCGTTCCTGCCACCTGCGAAGGTGTGGCCAGCGCCTGGGAGTTGTCCTGCGAGGCCCGGAAGGTGAAGGGGCCACAGAGGTGCCTCGTGGGGCTGTCAAATCCCGAGGACCGGTGATGGCCCCCAGACGTCCAAATGAACGCCATAGATTCATCCATGTGGATGCAGCTCACGTTTCTACAAAGTTGAGCGGGTAAATCACGACCACTGTGTATTTATGCACGAATAAAAGGAGGCAGAGTCCCAGGTTCCATAGCTTAGTATAATGCTGTCTGTGCACACAGTGGGTGCCTAATAAACGTTGAATGCGATTAGGTGGGCCATCAGCAATAGGAAACATGTCTGTAAAGATGGTTCTTCGAGAGAGAATTCTGATGAGTAATTGTCCAGGCGTTGAAACTTTCAAAGTTTAAAGCAGGGCCCTGTAATTGTTCTTCTATCTCTATAAGGTGTGACGGTGGGGGTAGGCAGGTTCTGGTAGTCTTAGAAGCAGTTTAATGGAGAAACAAATTTGCTGATTCATATCATGATTGAATAGTCATAACTGAAAGGGCTTGTACGGATAAATCGTTTTCACGATGCCTGGTTTAAAATAAAGCCAAAACTCCAGTAAAATGCAGAGTTCCAGTAGAAATTTTATGAGTTCAAGCCTTCCCCTATACCTAGTAATAAAATAATAAGTATAAATAAATATATATTAAATAAATGTACCTGAAAAGTATAAACAGACATCTCCTAGGTTGGAGAAAGCTGTCATAGCATATCCATTCATTCTCACTAACAGTTATTTCAGGATAAACTATAGTTTATGTAAGTTGAGTAATAATTTTACCTCATTGACTGCCTGGTTGGAGTAGCTGGTTAAAAGAAAATAGAAATTAGATTTATTAACGTATTTCAAAAACAGTTATCCTTCTTAAGGATTTAGTTCATCATCAGTTAGATGATTTAAAACCAAAAAGAGGGTTTTTTTTTTAAGTTTGCAGACATTGTCTTTTTATTGTGCAATTTTTAAGAGGGTTAAGGGTTCTGTAAATTTTCTAAAACTCGGCTTTTAAGTACTAGTATCTCACTCCCAAAGGGCTAGTGTTTTTCTTTTAATAGAGAAAACATTGGGAAACTTAAATTTATAATGATAGCTGTGGCTTAGGAGAACTGTATGATAGGGTTATCAAAGACTACACCTCCAAATAGTTTGAATCAGCAAACTTTATGACGAGTGAATGTTCCAATGAACAAACACTTGACATTCCCGGGATGAAGAGGCTCACCTGAACTGCCGCACACCCGGGCAGGGAAGCGGTCCCTTCCTGTCTGAGGCAGCCCTGCCTGCAGAACGCACGGAGGAGCTGCAGGAACTGGGAGCCTGCAGGCCCCAGGCAGGCGGGAAGGCTCAGGAGCAGGGAAGGCTGGTGGCTGGTATGGATGTGCAAGTCATCAGAAGTTTAAAAAATTGAAAAAGTTATTTCTCTGCCAAAAGGAAGAAAAGAAAAAAAGAGAAATGAACAGAAAGAGATAAAAACACATCCTGATTAGGAGGTAGTGTTGTGAGTTTGATGAAGAGGTATGAGTGAAAGAGCCTTCAGTCAAAGTTCTGTGCATACACAATGGTACTGCAAACATAGAAAAATGGAATTGAATGCATGAGTTTATTTTGGTGCAAAATTTTTTTGGAGTCCATGCATTGTTTTTCTGTAAGGTGCATTTTCCACATAATATGGAAGCAAGTTGTTTTGCACCAAAATAAACTCATACTTTTGATTCCATTTTCCATGAACTTTTGAAGTATCCTCATATTGTTGGATGGCAATATTTCCTGTAATTCAGTCTGTACATTTTTGCAGCTAACTGGACAGTTATTATTATTTTTTCCTTTTAAAAGGAAAGACAGAATTACAGAGAGAGAGAGAGAGAGAGAGAGGAGAGACAGAGAGATCCTCTATCTGCTGGTTCACTCCCAAAAGGGCCGTAACAACTGGGGCTAGGCCAGGCCAAAGCCTGGAGCTAAGAACTTTTTCTGGGTCTCCTATGTGGGTACAAGGGCCCAAGGACTTGGGCCATCCTCCACTCTTTCCCAGGCTCATCAGCAGGGAGCTGATTAGAAGTGGAACACCCAGGACTGGAACCGGCACCCATGCAGGCCACAACCCAACCTGCTGCAACACAATGCCAGCCCTTGGATGGTTAGTTTTATTGATTTACTTACTGATTTCATGCATCGTAGCAAGTGGCTACATTAAAAATGTTAACTATTTCAAAAAATGGAGGCTGGCATTGTGGTATAGTGGATTGAACCACCACCTGTGACACCAGCATCCCATATGGGTGCCACTTCCAGTTCTGGCTGCTCCACCTCCAACCTAGCTCCCTGCCAGTGGCCTGGGAAAGCAGCAGAGGATGACCCAAGTGCTTGGGCCCCTTCTGCACCTGTGGGAGACCCAGAAGAAGCTCCTGGCTCCTGGCTCCTGGCTCCTGGCTCCTGGCTCCTGGCTCCTGGCTCTGGCCCAGTCCCAGTTGTTGTGGCCATCTGGGGAGTGAACCAGTGGGTGGAAGATATTCTCTCTCTCGCGCTCTCTCTCTGTGGCTCTGCCTTTCAGGTAAATAAATAAAAAAGGTTAATGAAAAGTCTATCAAGAGATGTGTGTTATCTTTGCCTTTGATTTATTCAAAGATCGTGTTTCTTAGCACCCATGAGAATGTTAGCAGTGTGCTTAGGGCACAGTACTACCATAGGGGCCTTTTTGGGTTATTACCGTGCAACCCCTGCTTGACATCCTTAAACAGTGATGAAATGAAGGGTTTGGGGAATGTGCTGTGTTTTTTTCTTGACAGATTTTTCAAGGCCTGTCGTTTTTATTATAGCTATATTGTGTTTAATTCAGATTAATTAAGTGCATCAAGTTGTCTCGGTCTCTTATAATACATACTTAGCTCTTGTTTTTAACCATTTTCCTCTTCCTATAAGGAACAAGGATTTGGGACTTCAGATTCAAGGGAAGTGTGATCTTCCCCATCCTCTTTTTAGCTCCTTACCCTCCTCTGAGAAGGAAGTGTGCCATGTTCCTGTTTGCCTCTGTGCACTTCACTGCTGGTTCAGTACTGGCCTCCTGTCTCAGTGGACAAGCCAAGCACCCAGCTGAGGCCCTGCCCTGCTCCCGGCCTAAACTTCATAGAATTCCCCTGCTTCTCTGTGACTTTGCGATCACTTCATTCACAGCCCTGGTGCTGGTTCCCGGAAACAGGAAAAGCCGACGTGAGTTTGTTTGCTTCTGATCGTTAGTAGGTACTTGAGTTTGTAGAAGCACTCTTGGCATGGACATCCATAGGTGAGGTTACACTGTTGACTGTGACTTTTAGAACACCGAGCACATTACATTTAGCACTGAAGGTCACGCCTTAGACCCATGAAATTCCTGGCCAGGCCTTGCATCCTGATGCTGGGAAATTGCTGGGCATTTGGTCTCAGAGAGACAGCTGTCGAGTCGTTCATACCTGTCATGATTACTGGGGACATTCGCAAAAGGACCTCTGCACTTTCAATGTGCTCATGTGTTCGTGCGTGCCGAGCACCTGCTGTGTGCCAGGCTCAGTCCCAGGCACTTGATATTTTTTTGGTGAAGGAAATACAGCACCAAGCATTTGAGGATCTGACATTCTACAGGAAACTGACATAAAGGTACAGTGTCTTTTGAAAGGGGATTAGTGGTACAGCAAAGTTAGAGCACAGTCAAGAGGGTTGGGAGGAAGAGGTGCTGGAATGTTAAATAGGTGTTCAGGATGGACTTCACGAGAAGCTGATGTGAGAGCCAAGACGTTCAGAGGGGTGGGAGAATTAACCGTGAGCATTTCTGGGCAGCTGTGAGGGCCAAGCCAGGGGAGCAGACAGGGCAGAGGCCCCAGGGCCCGAGTGTACCTGCTGACCCCATTCAGTAATTCTTGCGAGGGGACTGAAGCAGCAGTTCATCTAGAGCCTTCCCCATGTGGTAGAGGCCTCAGCTTTGCTGTCCATGCAGATTTCCTGCAAGGGCCTGGTAGGGGTGTGGAGTCTCATTTTCCAAGAGTGGTTTGCATTCGTTCTGACCCTGAATGCCAGCACTTTTCTTGTGGTTAGTTTTGTTGATTTTCTCATCTCTAAAACCTAGGTAGTAAGTTATGGCACTTCATTTCATGTGGTGGGTTTATAAACAATCTGGTTATTAAAGGTCGAAGTTTCTGGAAAGATGAATGAAAGTAAGGTCAAATTTGGCTCCAATGCTGGTTTAGCAAATCTTTGCATTATCTTCTCAAAGATGCATCACAGTGTAGTAAATACACTTACAGTCGTACACCACACAATGACGTTTTGATCAATGACAGACTGCTACAAGACAGTGGTTTCGGGGTCAGTGTGTGGCATTAAGCTACTGCCTGCAATGCTGGCATCTCTTATGGGCACCAATTTGAGTTTCAGGTGCTCTGCTTCTAATCCAGCTCCCTACTAATGCACCTGAGAAAGCAGTAGAAGATGGCCCAAGTACTTGGGCTCCTGCACCCGCATGGGGAACCCGAATGAAGCTTCTGGCTCCTGGCTTTGGCTTGGCCCAACCCCAGGCCATTGCAGCCACTTGGGGAGTGAATCAGTGGATGGAAGAGCTCTTCTCTGTATTTCCCTCTCTATGTGTAAATCTTTCAAATAAATAAAATAAATTAAAAAAAAAAGACAGTGGTCCCTTAAGATTATATTGGCTGATGACATTGTAGCTGTCTTTACGTCCTACAGTGTTCATGCTTCAACAATAAAATCCCTTAATAGTGAAGTGATGCGTGACTAAGGATGAGTTGTGCAGTATTTGGTAGGCCTTTATTCTTCCCACTTTAGAGATGAGCACACTGAGGCACAGGAAGTTTATGTAACTTGCCTCAGTGTCTGACTGGTGAGTATGGTCTGGGGATTGAATTCCAGAGAGGTGTGCAGAGCTGGGCCTGTGTCAGATTGCCAAAGAGGTGAGGAGCTTGACAGTCTCTCCCCCTCCTCTGCACACAGTTGGTCTATGTTTCTTCCTTGGAAACTAACGGAACTGTTGTGGAGGAGGGGTGGCAGTCAGCTGAGAAGCCATGTAGTGACCCACCGTGGTTGGGACTGAGCATCCGCTTCTGATGCTGGTCAACGATGTGGCCGTGGACAGCTTCTCCACCTCTGTAAAGTGAGCATAATAACAGCCGTTCTCAGGGAGTGGCGAGTGAGGGTTAAGGGAGCTCTACAAAGTACTCATCTGCAACATGACATCAGGCAACTCCCTGACACTGGTGTGTTTACTAAATAAGTATGTTTGTCATCCTGCTGTGACAATCTGGCAGATCATGACCAGCAGCTTCCAGCATGGCCTTTCCTTGTGGCCTGAACTTTTTTGGAAAAACTCAGGATTAGAGAGGTACGATGTCTTGAGCACGTGGGCACATTCCTCCAAGGCCCCTTTCCGCGGGAAGAAGGAGTGACTGAATGAGTAAATGAATGAATGAAAGGCTTGTTCCTGTCTGCTCTGCTCTGCCTGCACCCTGTGTACCTGTTCCTCCCTCCCATGGTTTCCAAAAAGGCCCCAGGTGCAGAGACCGGGGAGGTTTAAACGCGTGCCCAGGCACACAGCATAGGCAGCACGAGGGAACCCTCCACCCAAAACCTCGTGGCATTCTCCAGAATGGTGGCCTCAGTAGTTTCTCCTTTTTCCTACTTTTTACCTGCAAACAATCACATCACCCTTTTATGGAACAGTTTGCAAAAACCCCTACTTGTTTTTCTTTGGTGTACTCCACCCCACCCCACCCCCTACCCTTTTTTGACATATGACTGAAAGGTGCAGACAGACACCCAACTCTGCTTGCAACCAACTGGGTTGACAGATGCCTGCGTATTCTTCAGAAAATGGTTTCTGTTAGAGTTCACATTCTTTGGAGACGACTCCCATCTTGACAGTTCTAGAAACGCAGGTTGACGGCTGTTTTCAGAAAGCCCGATTCTCCCCATTGGTGATGGGGAGGAAGCCTTGAGGCTGGAGCGGGCTAGGGGCACTTGGAGAGAGAGGCTTCCCTGGGGCCCTTTGGAGGCCAGCATCTTTGTGTTGTAGCCTGAGGTCTGGGGGCGGGGCAGGGGGGCAATGCTACTGAGTCCCTTACGGCTCTTCCTTTTTCTAGTTTTTGCATCATGCCCCACATCTCCTTGTGTTTCTCTCTCCCCTCCATCCTTGCCCCTGCCTTCAGAACTTGACCTGTCCTGGGTACTGAAGAAATACATTTTGTCTCATGACAGGTAAATAGATTTGTTTTGTGCTGACGTGGTTAATGTGTTCAGTTGCAAATATTTATCTAGAATCTGAAAATCAGAAGCTGTGTCAGAAATTGATTATAATATGTGTGTTTTAAAAAATGCCTTTCATTTCATATGCTCCATCAGTTAAAGAAAATTCTATTTTTTCCATGCAATAAGCACTGGAATGTTGCAGTGGTTTTCACTTACTTTTTTTTTTTTTTCATTTTTATTTGAAAGGCAGAGAGAAACAGAAATCTTCCATCCACTGGTTTACTCCCTAAATGCCTGCAACATCTAAGGTTGGACCAAGCCAAAGCCAGGAGACCAGAATTCCATCCAGGTCTCCTGCATGGGTGGCAAGGACCCATGTACCTGGGGCATCGTTTGCTACCTCCCAGGATGTGCCTCAACAGGAAGCTGGATTGAAAGTGGAGTAGGGACTCTGATATGGGATGCAGGTGCCAAATGTAGGCCACTACTTTTTTTGGGGCGGGGAGGGGCTAAGCTGCAAGCAGGGCAACAGATGAATGGGCATTCACTTAAAAGATAACTCTCTTTCCTCTTTGGCAGGAGTCAGAGTGCCTTTTCTTGGGTCACTAACTATAGATAGTCTCCTGCTGGTCAGCCCTTGTCTGGCTTACCCATTGGCTCCTAAAGGCAGCCCTGTTCACTGCCTGCCAGGCTGCAGTAGTGACTGTCTCCTGAGGTGGAGCTCCTTGAAGGCCGGAGGTCTGGCTACCATATTATTAGCATCGAGAAATTCACTGCTGCTCTGGGGGTAAATGAGTATAGGCAGCTAACACAAATATGTGTACACACAGGATGCATCAATAGAAAATTGAAAACTTGTGCATGGATTCCCAAGTTTTTTTCACTGAAATAAACTTACTTTTTTGATTCTACTTTCCACAGTGTTGGCAGTACCTTTATATGTATATACTTTTAAATGACATATATGGTCATTCCCCTGTGTCTATGAAGGATATGTTCCTAGACCCCAAGTTGATACCAGAAACCTCACATAGTACCAATCATATAAATATAAAACTGTATACATATGAAAATGTTTATATAAACTTTATGTATATGTCTATATATATTTTTTCCATTATTACCAATTGGAATACATTTTTTTCTTTTTTTTATTTCTTTTTTTTATTTGACAGGCAGAGTTAGACAGTGAGAGAGACAGAAAGGAAGGTCTTTCTTCCATTGGTTCACCCCCCAAATGGCCACTATGGCCGGTACCCTGCACCAATCCGAAGCCAGGAGCCAGGTGCTTCCCCCTCCCCCTGGTCTCCCATGCAGGTGCCAGGGCCCAAGCACCTGGGCAGTCCTCCACTGCCTTCCCGGGCCACAGCAGAGAGCTGGACTGGAAGAGGAGCAACCGGGACCAGAACCCAGTGCCCATATGGGATGCCGGCGCCGCAGGCAGAGGATTAACCAAGTGAGCCACGGCACCGGCCCCACATTTTTTTTTATTCACATCTTCAACCTGTAAATTTAATGCCTTCTTCACCTTAAGTATTACGCTTTTATACGATGTGGGCACAACTTTAGCAGTTGAGGTGCCACAGCAAAACTAGAATGAATCTTTTTTCTTGTTCACAATGTCATTGCCGGGAGATTTGTTCTCACTGTACCTCCTTAGCAACCTCAGCATACGTTTCCTCTTAAGGTTGTGGACTTTCATCTCTTCACTTAAAGGAAGTGCTCTGTAGCTACTCTGTGACACGTGCTTTGGGGCCATGGTGGAATAAAATAAGAGTGAGCTGAGTGCCAGCACTGTGATGCTGCAGCAGCCTGTGTGATGACTGAGAAGGCTTATAAATGGCTGCTGGGCAGGTAGCATATAAAGCATGGCTATGCCAAAGGGGTAAGTCACATACTTAGAGATGAGACAGCCTCAAATTTCATCTCAGTACTCAGAGCCATGCACAGTTTGAAACTTCTGAATAGTTTATTTCTGGAATTGTCCAGGTGAAGGGACTATAAAATGTATGTATACATGTGTTCCTATATCCTTATGTGTATTAGTGTGTAATACATGCATACATTTGTAGACATGTATTGTGCATGTGCTCTCTTGCTAAGATCGCCATGGACATTGAGGACTTCCACACACATCTTGACTATTTCTGGTATGCTGATACTTAAGACAATACTTAACTGTCTCCAGAGTTGAAATTTATTTGGACAGACCAGACACGTACACTGAGATAAATGATGAATCATGATAGAGACCATAGGAGCAAATTTATCCTGGCACTTGTGGGGAGCAATCCGGACTAGACTAAGTTACTCGAATTAGGACTTATTCTATGCATCTGCTCTCCCACAATATGGCGCTGGGAGAGAAGTAAACAGCTTCCGCACAGCTGCCTCCAGTTCAACTAATAAACTGTAGGACTTGCTCCTGATTGGAGGAGAGCAGCGTACTCGGCGTGTGGGCAGCCGAGTTGGGATTGGCGGAGGAGGACTATAAAGGAGGAGAGAGACGGCATGCATCAGGAACATCTATGGGGAACATCTAGGGGAACCCGTGCAGCCCCCGAGAAGAGCCGGCCGGCGGTGTGCCGCTCCCCTGCGGAAGTGGGGAATGTGGCCAGGGGGAACTGCCCTTCCACGGAGGTGGAAGGGATAGTAGCCAACCCGGGAAGAACCAGCAGCAAACCCGGGGAGGGCCGAGCAGACAGAAAGAACAGCGCAGGGTCCTGTGTTGCTCCTCCACGAAAACGGGGAGCGACATAATGGTGCCGTGACTCGGATAGGAAACGTGACTCGGATATGAAGCCTAGGCAGGACTCTGTGTCGTTCCTCCACGAAGAGGGGGAGCGACATAATGGTGCCGTGACTCGGATAGGAAACCTGACTCGGATATGAAGCCTAGGCAGGACTCTGTGTCGTTCCTCCACGAAGAGGGGGAGCGACATAATGGTGCCGTGACTCGGATAGGAAACCTAGGACGGATAGGAAACCTAGGACGGATAGCAAACTTAGGAGGGAAGAAACGGGAAGAACTGGGAAAATACCGGAGAGAGAGACTAGCAAACAGCCTAGGGAAAATATCGGAGAGAGAGACTAGCAAACAGCCTAGGGAAAAGCCGGACGAAAAGGGTGCCGGAGGAAGCTGTTGAAAGCCTAGGCATAGACTCAGATACGGACTACGGGGGGAAGCTGGGAGAAATCTCTAAGGTCGAAAGCGAAAGTGAAAGCTAGAACAAACAGACTCGGACGCGGACTGTGGGGAGAGGCCAGGAGAAATGAGGGAGGAATATCGTTGGAGGAAAGTTTGGGGAAACATACCGGGTAGAGAAAAATGTTAGGGAAATTGAAGCCGTGGGGGGCAGGCCAAGGCGGACACGAAAGCCACTTTGGGATTCTCAAGTTAGCCCGGGAATAGGGGGCGAAAAGTTGAAACCAGAAGCTGAAACGTGAGCCTGGTTGGGATCCGTCTGATTAGCCCGGGGAGCAAAGGACGGGAAGCCAAACTGTGGGGCGGAGACGTACGCTGGGTTGAATTCGCCAGGCTAGCCCGGGGAACTTAGATTGAATGCTAGTGGCGGACACGTAAGCTACGCTGTGTTACTCGCGGAAGCCGCCGCGTGCAGAGAGAGCACGGGGCGTGAATAGATAGGGAACGGGGCTGGCGTAGGCCGTGGTGCAGACGCGAAGGGCGTGGAGACCGCGGAGCGCGCGAAGCCAAGCCGCGCAAAGCCGGGAAGCTGCGCAGATGAAAGAGGCGCGGGCTGAAGCAGCTCAGCCGGGAAGCCGCCGAGAAGTAGCCTCGGGGCGGGCACCGGGAAGCTGCAGGGATAAGAGAAACAGAAGTTTTAGAAGTAAAGTGAGAGAAATAGGAATGCTGGAAGATAGAAGTGGAATGGGAGAAATAGGAATGCCCGGAGATAGAGAAATAGAGAAATAGAAAGGCCTCCCCTCAACATGGCAACGAGAAAGTTTGGATTCGGTCTGCCTGATTAAGTGAGGCGATGAGCACGATGAGCACCTGCGGGCAGCTAGCAGCTTATGCGCCGCAGGTCACCGAAGACAGGCACGAATTAACATCAGTAAGGCTTCCCCACAATACAACCATTAGGAGGCTTGGATTCGGTCTGCCTAATTAAGGCGGTAAGCGCCAGCAAGCAGCTCGACCAGAGTATGAGCTGCAGGTCACCGAAGATAGGCACAAACCAACACTAATAAGTCTCCCCCACAATACGGCAATGAGAAGGCTTGGATTCGGTTTGCCTGATAGGTTTTGTAAACACCTGCAGGCAGTTCTAGCAGAGCAGAGCATGCGCTGCAGGGCACCGAACACAGGCACGCATCAGCGCCTAAAAACCTCCTCACAACATGGCGAAGAGAGGACCCGGATTCGGTTTGCCTGATGGATAGGACTTGTAAGAGCCTGTGGCAACTCTAGCAAGTAGAGCAGAGTGTGTGCCGCGGGACACCGAAGACAGGCGCGTATCAACGCTAAAAAATAAAAAGAAAGGGGGATCTGTGGGGAGCAATCCGGACTAGACTAAGTTACTCGAATTAGGACTTATTCTATGCATCTGCTCTCCCACAATATGGCGCTGGGAGAGAAGTAAACAGCTTCCGCACAGCTGCCTCCAGTTCAACTAATAAACTGTAGGACTTGCTCCTGATTGGAGGAGAGCAGCGTACTCGGCGTGTGGGCAGCCGAGTTGGGATTGGCGGAGGAGGACTATAAAGGAGGAGAGAGACGGCATGCATCAGGAACATCTATGGGGAACATCTAGGGGAACCCGTGCAGCCCCCGAGAAGAGCCGGCCGGCGGTGTGCCGCTCCCCTGCGGAAGTGGGGAATGTGGCCAGGGGGAACTGCCCTTCCACGGAGGTGGAAGGGATAGTAGCCAACCCGGGAAGAACCAGCAGCAAACCCGGGGAGGGCCGAGCAGACAGAAAGAACAGCGCAGGGTCCTGTGTTGCTCCTCCATGAAAACGGGGAGCGACAGCACTAACCAAACTCAAGCCCTAGGGCCCCTCCCCTGCACAACATGGATTTTGCCGCTTTTGAATCTCTCGCTGCCTCTGCCTTCTCCACAGCACCCAGCACTTTCCAAGCAACTCGTTCATGGGATAATATAACATCTGAAAAGGTAACCTTTTCCTTTTGCCCCTGTGACTTCCCTTCTGTCCCGTTTCTCCTTGGGTTTGATGACATTGGCGCTGAGCTAGAGCTAAGGGGAAGTCAGTTTGGGTTTGGTGGGTTGTGCTTCTACATTCACAGTCTTCTCTGTGCAGTAGAGTTGCCCCTAACCATTCTCGTGTAGGAGCTGCTTCCCAGGTGCCCCTGCTGCGCTCTGCTACACTCCTCACACAAAGGAGCAGGGGCAGAGGCAGTATCCTAGCATGAGCGGGTGCTGTGACATCTGCCGCTGGGAATGTGGTTTGAAATGTGTGGAGCCAGGGGGCCGGCGCTGTGGCACAACAGGTTAACAACCTGGCTTGAAGCACCAGCATCCCATATGGGCGCCGGTTTGAGACCCCGCTGCTCCACTTCCAATGCAGCTCTCTGCTATGGCCTGGGAAAGCAATAGAAGAAGGCCCAAGTCCTTGGGCCCTGCACTTGCATGGGAGACCTGGAAGAAGCTCCTGGCTCCTGGCTTCGGATCGGCGCAGCTCCAGCTGTTGCAGCCATCTGGAGAGTGAACCAACAAAAGGAAGACCTCTCTCTCTATCTCTACCTTTTTCTGTAACTCTGTCTTTCAAATAAATAAAATAAATCTTTTAAAAAAAAAAAGAAATGTGTGGAGTCAAAAGTCTGTGGGAAATTGGTCTACTTGTTATGCGTGTAAAGTGCTGGGAAGAATTGCGTTCTCAAGTGAATTCTCTTCCTTAGGAATGTGCTCAACTGTGCAGACACATCACAAAGGCACCACTTACAATGTGCATTCTGAGCCAGCGCTGTTGCTCAGTAGGCTAATCTTCAGCCTGTGGTGCCGGCACCCCCAGTTCTAGTCCCAGTCGGGGCACCGGATTCTGTCCCGGTTGCTCCTCTTCCAGTCCAGCTCTCTGCTGTGGCCCGGGAAGGCAAGGGAGGATGGCCCAAGAGCTTGGGCCCTGCACCCGCATGGGAGACCAGGAGAGGCACCTGGCTCCTGGCTTCGGATCAGCGCGGTGCACCAGCTACAGTGGCCATTGAGGGGTGAACCAATGGAAAAGGAAGACCTTTCTCTCTGTCTCTCTCTCACACTGTCCACTCTGCCTGTCAAAAAAAAAAAAAATGCATTCTGGGTGTAGGATTCATGCTTATTTCACATGACTTTTCATGACAGCAAAAAACACTAACAAATTGGTTAATGAATGTCAATGCAAAGCACAGTTGTCATTATCAATGCACAAAAATACTTGGAAAATCCTGAATTTTTATGGCTTATGCGTGAAAGAAAATTAAAACTATTTACAAATTTGGCAACAATTTTAAAAATTCATATGACATTGCCAAAAAAAGAGCCATGAGACCAAAAATAACTTTCCTGAATTAGCAGCAATTAAAACTAAATTTCAGGAGTGGGCATTTAGCCCAGCAGGTAAGACACCAGTTAAGACCCCTACATCTGGGGCTGGCTTTGTGGTGCAGTGGGTTAGGCTACCCCTTGCGATGCTGGTATCCCATATTGGAGCACTGGTTTGAGTCCTGGCTGCTCTGCTTCTGATCCAGCTCCCTGCTGGTGCACTTAGAAAAGCAACTGGTAATAGCCCAAAAACTCAGGTTCCTGCCACCTTCATGGGAAACCAGATGGAATTCAGGGTTCCTGGTTTGTGGACATTTGGAGAGTGAACCAGCAGCTGGAAGATAACTCTCTGTCTCTCTCCATCTTTGTCTCTGTCCCTGTCTGTCTCTCCCTCTCTGTGTCACTCTACCTTTCAACTAAATAAATAAATCTTTAAAACCAAAAACGGGGGGTGGGGGCAGCATTGTGGTGCAGTGGGTTAAGCCTCTGTCTACAATGGCTGCTTCCCAAATAGGCGCCTGTTCAAGTCCTAGCTGCTCCACTTCTGATCCAGCACCCGGCTGATGTACCTGGGAAAGCCATGGAAGATGGCCCAAGTGCTTGAGTTCCTTCCACCAACATGGGAGACCTGGATGAAGCTCCTGGCTGCCAACCTGGTCCATCTGGCCACTGGGCCATCTGGGGAGTGAACCAGTAGAAGATCTCTGTCTCTCTCCTTTTCTCTCTGTGTCTGTCTCTCCCTCTGTCTCTGTAACTCTGCCTTTCGAATAAATTAATCTTTATTTTTAAAGGATACCCACATCTTATATTGGAATGCCCAAGTTTAATTCCTGACTCCTAAGTTCTGACTTCTAGCTTCCAGCTACTGCAGACTGTGGGAGGCAACAGTGATGGCAGAAGTAACTGAGCTCCTACCACCCACCTGAGAGACTGGATTGAGTTCCCAGTTCCTGGCTTCAGCTCTAGCCTAGCCTAGCCTAGCCCAGCCCAGCCACTGCAGATATTTGGCAAGTGCACCAGTAAATGGGAGGTCTCTCTCTTGTTCTCTCTACTTCCCAACTAAATAAAAATTTAAATTCAGTCCCTCATGCTTAAAGGAAGACTGATTTATCTTTTTACCCTATAGAAAATGATATTAATATGCACCCTTGTCATATGAGAATTCATCAGAGTGTGCAGCCCAAAAGCAGTATTTACAGCAGTGTGGGAGGCACTCTATATTCTGGATTGTTTTCTTGGATTTTAATTTTGTGATGTATCTCCAGCTTATAAAATTTTGTGTTATAATTTTTAGTCTGAGTAAATAATCACTTTCATGAATACTTTGTGTTTGTAACACTGCATTCTTTTTTTCCATAAAGAGGGTATAGAGCCACAGGCCTCATCAAACTCGTGTCCCAGTTAGGGAGTCACCACTGTGTGCTGGAGGCGGTGCAAAAACACTTTCTGTACAGTGTTTAATTTACCTTCGTAGCAAGCTGATGAGGCAGACACTACCTGCGTCACGTGGAGCTAAGCATGTGACCGTAGTGGTGAGATACCATAGCCTGTAAAATGTGAACTAGGGAGGGTCTGTTTTGGTAAAATTAGAAAGCAGAAGCATTTCCCTGCAAGACAGCCTCTTCAACCTCAATCAACATCACTGCTGTGCTTGGCCCTTCCCCATGGTCCTGGGGCCCTGTACTTGAAGTTCACCATCTGTGTGCTGTGCCCCCCACCCAGAAACCCAGCTCTTATCTGGAGGACAGGGTCTCCTCCTGTTCCACTTCCTCAAGAAGTGTTTTCAGAGGTGGAGTGAGGGTTAAAATTGAGGAGTGCTTTGGGCTTTGAAAAGAATCAGTTTACTGGGGCAGGCGTTGTGACACAGGGAGCCACTAACGTCACATCCCATATCAGAGTGACTGGTTTGAGAGCTGGCTACTCTGCACCTGCCATCAAGCTTCCTGCTCATGCATCCTGGGAGGCAGCAGCCGATGGCTCAATTACCTGGGTTCCTGCCACCTGCATTGGAGACCTAGGTGGAGTTCTTGGCTCCTGGTTTCAGTGTGGCCCAGCTTTGGCTTTTGTGAGCTTTGGAGAGTATACCAGTGGATGGAAGGTGGGTCTCTCTGTCTCCATGTCTCTCTCCTTCTTTCTCTCACTCTGCCTTTTAAATAATAAATAAATAAATAGATCTTTAAAAAAAGAATAATTACCATAAGGTAACTGTGGGCTATGAAAAATTTATTCCTGATTTTTGGAGGTGTGTGTATGTGAGGGATGTGTATTGGTGTGTCTGTGAGAGTGATGTGTACAGTACCAGCTGTGCAATTAGTCCAGGGTAGTTTATATTAAGGAAATTTGAGGAAGACCTTTTTCAAAAGGAAATCCATGTATTTTTGTACTTGGGAATAGAACTTACTCCTTTTCTAAATTGAGGATATTATGATGCTTAGTTGGATCATTTCTTGCTTTACCTACAATGCATGGTTAGAATATTCCAGGTGGCAGGAGGGCTGGGGTGGGAAAAACTTGAACTCTGGAACCAGACAGAACTGGAGTTTGAATCCTGGTCCCACTACCTTTTATCTTTTCCAACACAGACACCTCTGCCATTTGTGAGCATGGGAACAGTAACTGTGTATAGCACCCCTAGCTTGTGGCATTAGTGTGCATTGTACAGTATGAGTCCCATGTGTTCCTGGAGGAAACCAGGACAGAGCTTGAAGTACACAAACAGTGCTGTGTGTAGCCAGGGTTTACACTTAATGGTTGGGGCTGGGCTGGGCTGAAGCTGGAAACTGGGAACTCATTCCAGGTCCCCTATGTGGGTGGCAGAGACCCAAGTACTGGAGCCATCACCTGTTGCCTCCCCGGGATTGCATGAGCAGGAAGACTGGAATCCAGAGCAGAGCCAAGACTCTCAAACCCACGCACTTTGATATGGAATCCCAAGCAGCATCTTAACCACTAGGCCACTTGCTGAGCCCAGAGATGGGGTTTTGAAGACTCTTAGTGAACCCAAGCTAAGTACGTAGTTTGGGAAGCCTGCACCCCAGGAATTCCGGGTTAACTTGGTCTAGGCTTCTCCCTTTCCTCCTGGAGCTCCTTTCTATTTAGGAATCAGACCGGCTGTTGGATTGTGGACTCAGACTCTTAGCAAGTGTCACACAGGCGTGTCCCAGCCCCCACATAACCTATAGATAACTAGATTTCAGAGATATGCTCAGGGCATCGTTTCATGGGATCTTTTGACACCAGACATCTGGAGTTTGGCACCAGCTCAGCTGAGTGGTTGAGACGTGTGATTTAAACTCTTGTGTACCGGTGTTCTCCCTGGGTTAGAAACTCCCTGTTACATGTCTGCCTCCCATCCGCGCTTCCAGGGGCCCACTGTGAAAATACACAGACATCAGACAAACACTTTGCTCCAGCAATGCTGAGTTACAAACACACTTTGCTTCAGATGTTAGAATGAAAGAAACTCATTTTGTCAATTCCTAGAAAGATGAAGGCTTCTTAGGTGTTACCTGGCATGTGTGGTAAAGGAATATGAGTGGTTCTCATCCTTGGCTTGTGGAAATCAGCTTTGCTGGGTTGTAAGTCACACCCTCTGTGTTATGAGCACTCACATCAGGAGTTTTCTATAGGGCCTGCTGTCAGAATCACTTGGGTGAACCTGAAGAAAGTAAAGGTGCTGGGGCTGCACCCCCAGAGCTTCTGCCTTAGTGACTTGGGGTGCTGCGGTCTGGGCAGCTGCGTTTTAACACTGCACAGGTTGCCAACACTCCCCTAGGTTGCCAAGGCTGGAGCTCATTGCTCATAGTAGCATTATGATGAGGATAATGGCATTGTTCAAAAGCCATCAGAAAATGGATACAGCCTTTTTTGGGTTTCAGTTCTATAGGTTTTAGTTTTAGTGGGGGAACACTAATAGCAGGTTTGGAGATGTGCTGCTGCCCCAGACCTGGGGTGAGAGGAGAAATGCTCAACATGGGAAGACAGCAGCCCCAGAGTCCAGACTCGCATGCCTCCCGCACACAATGTGTGAGTACGTGGTGAAGTCCATGTCACTGGGAGAGGCCTGGCTTTCCCTGAAAAGGTGGCTGTAGCTCGGCACCAGCCATGTCACCGGGTAGCCGAGTAGGCCCTTTGCTGACAGACAGTTTTCATCTTCCTTGACGGGGAGGAACTGGGAATGAAGATTTTCGTGTGATATCTATCTTTATTGGCACCAACTATCAATATGTCTAAACCATTGTGTAAAACAAGAACTCCACCCACCTACTGTATTTCATAAGAGATATTAATGGTGGACCGTGTGTTTTGATGAAACACATGTGAACGGTGGGATGCAGCTTTAACCTTGAGGGCCATTGCTTCCAGCAAGGAGGCCTTTGCACTATAAATGTGGTAACGCAGAGTCGTCAGTTATAGATTACATTTTCTTTTTTAATTTCAGTCCTTTTTATAAAATGGCTAACCATTTTTTAATATGAAAACTTGGTGACTTAAAATTTTTTTATACTAAATTCTAAAAAGATGAGCATTAATCCTAAAAGTGTCCACGTGGCTCCTGACTGCACTTCACCGTAGTTTGACTTTGCAATAGTGCAAAAGCAATATACACTCCAGAGACTGCCCTTGGGATTTTGAATTTTGGTCTTTACCTGGGCTGGCATTATGAGATTCAGTCCTCTCTCTGGATGCTGAGCAACAGTAGGGAGTAGGGCTTCAGGTCAGCCCCATGGTCATGGTGGCCAACAGCTGACCCTCCACATAGTGCGGCTTTGCCAGGGTGTCCAGCAGGTGAGGTGGATTAAATGGATTTTCCCCCACAAGACATTCAGCTTACAGCGGGCTTGTCAGGATGTAACTTTTCATGTGTCCGGGAGCACCTGTAGTGAGATCAGTACCAGGCGCATCTCCCTCCCCTGGGAAAAAAGCAGAGCCTCCCAGAAACTCTCCCCTTGTGTTGTCATCATGGAAGACAACTTTCATAGATGAATTAAGCTGGTCCAGCTGGCTGATTCTACAGGCAAACAAGCTTCAGGGATATAAAGCTGTGAGCTCAGCAGAGAAGCAGAGCAAAGGCAGCGGTCAGTGGTTTAGTGTGTGGCTCCTGGAGCCAGCCTACCAAATTTGGAGTCCTGGTGTTGCTCCTTCTGTCAAGTTACAGAACCTTTCTGTGCCTCGTTTTCTCCGTCTCTAAAATGGGGTAATAGTACATGATCCATGTGTTTCTGGTGAATTTTCTATTGGAGCTCTTGGTCATCTCGTGCAGGAAGCTGTGCTGGTGGCTTGACTGTGGAAGGTTATGGGTCAATTCCTCCGGGTCACATGGGGATGGGAATAGGACTTATTTCAGAGTGTTGATATAAGGGTTGAATAAAAACATTTGTAATTGGGAAGCCCCTCATGAATGTTAGCACCAGTCTGTAACAACGCTCCCAGGGCCACCAAATCCTCAGATTCTTCTGTCCTCCTCATGTTTCCATAATGTGATGGGAGAAAATAATCAAAACAACCTTATATGTTTCTGGTTTTTGTTAAGCATTTTGACTTGGAGATATTTGATAAAATCTGATTTCCCTGGTAGAGTTTTGGCTTGTGTTTGTGTAAGTCATTCTGAGTGGTCCTAGGAATCCATGGAATACATTCCACACACAAATTCTTGCTGTTTCAAAATATACCAGCCTTAATTTAGTGCTGTTTATGTAGATTTAAGTTTTTGAGATGTTAGGTCATGGTGGTTAGAAAAGTGACTCCCACATTTAAAAAATAAAATTTTTTATTTAGGAGAAAATACATTTCAGGAGTCTAGACAGTTTTTTTAAAACTATATAAACAGAGGCTGGTGTTGTGCCACAGGCTAAGCTGCCATTTGGGACACTCACATCCCATCTTAGAGTACTGGTTTGAGGTACCTGGGAAGTCCTTCGGCCCCTGCCACCCATGTGGGAGAACTGGGTAGAATTCCTGGCTCCTGACTTTGGACTGGCCGAGCCTGCAACCATTTGGAAAGTGAACCAGCAGATAGATGGAAGATCTCTCTCTTTACCTATCTCTCCCTCTCTCTCTCTCTCTCCACTCTGCCTTTAATTAAATTAAAAAAATGATATAAGCAGAAGACAATTTGTTTTCAGGTTACAACTGAATAATGGAAAAACAGGAGATGCATATATATATACACACACACACATATATATATATGGCTGGGTGATGCTGAAGCCAGGAGCCTGGAATTCCATCTGATCTCCCACATGGGTGGCAGGAACCCCAGTACTTGGGGCGTCTTCTGCTGCTTCCCAGGTGCATTAGCAGAGAGCTGGCTTGGAAGCAGAGCAGCTGGGACTTGAACCGAAGCTCGGATATGGGATGCTGGTGTTGCCAACGATAGCTTAGCCTGCTGCACCACAACACCAGCTCCACGTTTGCTTGTTTTTCAGTCCTAAAAGTGTTACTGATGCTTTGAACTTCACATTGAAATAAAATTTTTTGACTAACACATTCATTTTACTGATGTAATTTGATGTTAGCTATTTGATTGTAAACCAGACGTAAAAAGTAAGGATTATCTATAATCACGACATATTAAAAATAATGTTTATCACAGTTTATAGACTCGGGGAACCTATAGATTTCTTTCAGAAGTTTCTTCAGTAGCTTTGTGAAGTCCTGCCTGGATTTTGGTGGTTGTGAGCATGGGGCAGAAACATGACGGGCGGGAGTGGAGAAGGAGCCAGTGTTCTCCTGAGGGTGTGTGAGCCTGTTCTCTGTATTTTCATCTTTGTTCAAGCATCTGAGAAGTGGGGCGTGTGTTTGGGTGATAGGAGGCCCATTCAGTCCTCGAAATTCAAGGGAGAAGAGTGCAAGATCTGCTAAAATATACGTTTGTACGGTGATTTAGCCTCTCAATGAACATAAAGTGACAAGGCATTCGTCAGCGAGTGCCACAGTGACACAGCATGGGCAGCCACCCCCTGACTCAGTGACTTCCCACCAAGGCCGCTGGAGGCAACTGAGGTTTGGCTGCTGGAGGGCTGGGTGCAGCTGGGTGGTTCTGCTTTAGGCTGTGGGCTGGGCTCAAGGATGCCGCTCCCCACCCTGCCTCAGTCGTTCTGGAACCTGGGCTAATGTGGCAGCAGCTGCAAGGGGCATGCTTGTCATGTGATAGACCAGCAAGGCTCACTTCAGTCCTCCATTCGGGTCATGCCTGTAGCATTCCTTTGGCCAGAAGGAGTCAGCACAGGCCAGCCTGGAGATGGCAGGCAAGGAAGGGGACAGACGTGTGTGAACAGCCACGGTCTACTCGATTGCGGGAGCCTTTGTGTCCTACGTGGGAAAAAGCTGAAAGGATCTGATATTTAGTGTAGAGACATAAAAAGTATCTACAAGCAGGAGGTCGCTAACCCTATATTACAGCACCCCAGAGGGCTTGAGAGGCAAACAGTGCGACTCCCCAGGGAGGGCTGAGTCTGTGTTTCAGACAGGGAAATTGCGACTTCACAGAGCGGGAGAAAGTAGTTATATGATTTCTGCTTGGCCACCAAGAACAGGGGAACCTACTTCTCTGGTTAGGGATGACCCCTTTTCCATTCTGAGGTTACTTAAGCATCCCAAGGCTTCAATTTGGGTTGCCCAGTGCTCTGGGCTTGTGTTCTAAATTCCTGAGCTGCTTGGCGGAGCTGAGAAGTAGGGGTACTGCCTGGGATGCGCTGTCTGGCACCAGGCGCGTCGGGAGAACCCTGGGCCTGCTTCACTGCTGGGTCCTGTGCCCCTTGTCTTCCCCAGTTCAGAGCCAGTGTCACAGGGAAGGGTAAAGGGTATCCAGCCAGTCGGGAACCTCCTTTCCCCTTCCTCCCACCGTTTCCCCTACCTTTTGGTGGCTGTCGCTGGTGGCAAGTGACCTTGCACAATTTTCTAATGGATGATTTTCTCATGAGGGAAAGGAGGGATATGAGATCAACCATACAGAGCTGGTGTGAGATTGAGTGAACATGTGACAAACCCTAGCAGTGCCTGGCAGGTATTCGGTATTTAATGAACATGAGCTGACAGTGCCTTTGTTATTATCTGCTATCACACCGCAGACAGCATTCCATTACTGCTGTTTCAGGATTTTGTACCTTCTGACTTAGCACCTCATTGTTGTGTCTCTCCTCAGCATGAGCACTGCATTTATGGTGTAGGAACTCAAACCAGTATCCCTTGGATTACACCCAGCTGTGTCTCCTCCACTGTGAAGCCTTCATCTTCAAGGACCAGATTAGATTGCTCCTAAAAACAGTCTTTTTTTGACGTTCACCTTTTGCTTGACGTAAAGACACTTGAAGCCATAGAGATTTCAAGGCTTTGAGTTAGCCTGGGCTTTGCCTTTGAGGAGACACTTTTACACCCAGGGAGGCCCTGGCTTCCTTGTGCTGTGTCAGAAGGGTTGAAAGAGGGCAGAGGATAATTTTCATAATGGGTGTTAAAGGAATATCTTGTTCTAATACTCTTCCAACTCCTGTCCTTTGAATTTCCTTTGAGGTTG